CCCCAGGGCCCCCCGCCCGAGGGCCCCGCACACGGGAGTCCGTCCTGATGACCCCAAAGACGGCGCCAACCGCATCAGTTCAACAGACAATAGCTTGCACAACGCCTGCAGCTGCTCAGCTCACTGATCAGATGCAAAGCTCCCTGTCTCCACCCCCACCTCCCCGCACCTGACGGCGGCCGCGCGGGGCTGAACCGCGGCATGTCGGGCCATGAGGCATCGTCCAGCCCCGGGATCGGGGCGCCGCTCATGTGCGCGGCCGAGAACGCGAGCGCCCACGTGCGCATGGCGTTGCGCAGGAGGCAGGCCCCCAGGTTGAGCTTCACGTCATCCTGCGCCTCACGTATCCCCAGGTCAACTGCGGCGGGGGTTACGACGGTTTTTTGGTTGAAGAGGCGGGAGGTTACGGGAGGGTGTTGCTTGTTGGAGGAAATCACTTTGCGGCACACTGCGAGGGGGTTACTGTATTGAGTCGCGGCTCGTTGCTGAGTTGTGACGCCGACGTGCACGGTCTGCGCCAAGGGGCCGGATGGCTTCAGGGGCGGAGTGGGGCTTGTCGAGAGCTGGGGCGTTGGCCATTTGACACCATGCGGAAATCACCTTCATTGGCCCCCCTCTGTCTGTCTGTCTGTCTGTCTGTCTGTCTGTCTGTCTTTCTGTCTGTCTGTCTGTCTTTCTGTCTGTCTGTTTGTCTGTCTGTCTGTCTGTTTGTCTGTCGGTTTGTCTGTCTGTTTCTCCATCTCTCCGAGTCCTCTGTCTTTCCTTCTCCGGCATTCTGTCTGTCTCTCCCCCACCCCTACGCCCACCTCCACCCCAAGCCACCCAGCAGCGCCACTCACGTGCGTACGCCTCCGCGGCGAAGCAGCCCGGCGCCTCCAGGTGCACCGCCAGCTGCCCCAGCTTCACGTCGGTGGTGAACCAGGACGGCACAGACACGGGGCGCCACAGGGCGCGCTCGCGCTCCACGATGTCGGCCCGCTGGGAACCGAGTCGAGCGGGGGTATGAGGGGTGTGTGAGAGTGTGCGTGCATGCATTTTGGGGGGTATGTGCGATAGCGTGTGTTTGTGTGTAGGGGGGGTGTTGCAGGTCGGTTGTGGGTGCTTTACAGTGCAGGTTTGCAGATACGTACCCTGTGCTTGGCTCAGGGGATGTGGTTGGCAGGGTGCGGCGCGTCTCAGGTGGATTCAGGGGGAGGCGTTCTCATCGAACTGTGTTTGGAGGCCGGCAAACATGCCTCACTGCCTGACAGGCCCCGCTTCTCACAAATTGGCAGGGCAATTCAACCCCTTTGCCCACCCCAGCTATCCCGCCCGGATGGGGGTAGCGTTCAGTGCCATGCTGACAGAAAGAAACCCATCCATTACCAAAATCACTCATTCAATGGCGAGTCATCATGAGAAACGGCAGTGCACACCCAAACAGCGCAGGGCCAACAGTGTAATGGCAACCTGCGCCACCCACCCCATAGGACTCCACGATGGCCCCGCTGAGCACATCCCAGCGCGCGACGGCCCCGCCGCTGTCTTGAGTCAGCACGTGGCGCTTGTCTGGCAGCACGCGGTACGCGACCAGGGCTGCGGGGGTTCAAGGCGGTTGCGCGACCTATGGTTTTGGCGGCAGCCGCTGGTTGGGGTGCGTTTGGTACAGGCCGCATTGTGCAGATTGGGACCATGGGTACCACCATCATCTGTGCGACACAGAAGAAATTTCCAACATGTCGAAATCAGTTGGTTGTCTGCGCCTGCATGGAAAAGCCTGGAAGGCCGGCGTGCTCCTTCTGACGCGGCAGGTGGGACGCGCGTCGCACGTTCCGTTCCCCGCGCTCGACGACACCGGTCAACTGTGGCCCTTGCTCCCGGCCCCACCTGGCGCGCCCGGTATGGTGACGGCCGGGCCTCTGTCTGCGCCACTGTCCTCCTCTGCGAGTCCGGACAGGTCGCTGCTCTGCCGCAGCCGCAGCGCGGGGCTGCCGCCCAGAAAGCTTCTCGACAGAGATGCGCTCCTGGGGCGCACAAGTGTGTGTATGTTGTGTGTGTTGTGCATGTGTTGTGCGTGTGCTGTGTGTGTCTATGTGTGTTTGTACACGCACACAGGTGCTTGTGCATCAGTAAGCGAATGTGTGTATGTGGTGCAAAAAACAAGGTGAGAGATTGATAGGAGCGCTCTGAGCGAAAAATGACACAGTTTTGGCGGCACGCACGCCACGACTGGTGAGCCCCGCTGCAAAGCAAAGGTGAAGCCGTGGCAGGCTTGAAAGGGCAACAGCGGGGCATTGTGTGGAGATGACTGACAACAGCGCCCGCCTGCCACCCGCAGCGGCGGCCGCTCATCCAAGCGCCGAGTGCGCAGGCGCCCGCACGCCCGCACCTCTGCACGTGCAGGCCGCCCCCCGCCGGCTGCTGCGAGGGCCAGGCGGGCACGTCGTAGGCGCATACGCGGGCCGACACCGAGGTGGGGCAGCTTGACACCCACAGCCGCGCCTCGTCGCCGGAGAGGGCCTGGAATTTCATATTCACGCGGAGAGACAAGGGTTGGAAAGGGCCAAAGATGTTGAATTGTGGAAGCCAAACCAATGTCAAGGAGCGGACAGCCACATCAACGGCAGCCCGGGCAGCAAAGCAGCCACGATGCTCGCGGGAACAGCAAGCCACGGCAGCAGGCCGCCAGGGCTTGCGTGGGGGCCACGCATGGCAGGGGTGGCGGCCAAGGCGCGGCCGTCGCAAGTGCTCAAACATCCACCGACCCTGGCCAGTCTGCAATAAACGACGGCGAAAGCGCCGGCCCCAGCCCGCCCACCATCGCGCGCACGGGGCCCTCCGCCTGTGCCAGCAGCTGCGTCTCGCGCCGCGCGAGGTGCGTCCTGAACACCCGCCTGTCGCGGCCGCCGCTGAAGACGGTGCCAAAGTCGGGGCTGGCCGCCAGGCACCACACTGAGTCGGTGTGCAGCGCCAGGGTCTGGAGGTTGCACAGGGCGAGTTGGGCAGGTGGGCGGGTGAATTATGATTCGTGAGACGAGGGTGTGGAGAGCCAGGGTTGTGGAGAATTTCGAGGGCGGCTGGGAAGGTGGGCGGGCCAGAGGGGCGGCAGGCGGTGGTGTGGGGCCGCCCTTGGGAGGGGCGCGCTGCGGTAGCTGGCGGCGAACAGGCGTTGGTTGTGGGGCCCAGAGGTTGGTTGAGATGCCGAATTCGGGAGTATCGCATGCCAACAAGGGCTGAGGGTTGGGCGGGCTCGAGCGAGGCCACGCTGAACAGCGGCCGCACTGGTAGCAAGAGCAGAGAAAGTTGCTGCTGCACATGCCCACCCACATTCTGTGCGCATCCGTGTGCGCGTTTGCATGCGCACGGTCGCAATGCACACTGAAATACTCACGCTTTGAAGCGTGCACACACACGTACCCACAAGCGTGTATGCACGCATGCTGACGCACACGCACACGCGCACGTGCACACACGCGCGCGGCGATCCACGAGCGCACACCTGTATACACCGCTGCTGCCTCATGTCCCACAGCCGCACAGTGTCGTCGCTCGACGCGCTCAGCAGCAGCGTCCCCGCGTCGTTCATGAGCAGTGCTCGCACGTTGTCCGTGTGACCCTGAGGGGCGCGTGTGCGTGCGAGTGTGTGCGGGGACCGGGTGGGGGTTACAAAAAAAGTTCAAGAACACGAGCGGCCGCAAGTACGAGCACGTGTGCTCCTGCAGGAGCGCATGTCTGCACGCGCCGCCGTGCTGGCATGCAGGCAAGCAGGTTGGGAGCCGAAAGTGCTGCATGTGCATGGATGGAGCAGCGCTCTGCTGCCTGGCACGCGCATGCCCCGGTCGCTGCGCCTGCATCCAAAGCAACCAATCGTGCGAAACACCAACACCAAAGCAGGGCCCACCTTTAGCTTCATGGCTTTGGCGTGGGTGCGTGGGTCATACACCCGGATGAAGCTCTCGGTGGTGCCCGTGGCCAGCAGGGTGCCCGCAGGGTTCATCGCGAGCGCGTAAATGCTGCCCTTGGGCCCCTTCTGCTGCTGCTGCTGCTGCTGCTGTTGCTGCTGATGGTGCTGCTGCTGATGGTGCTGCGGGTGGGGGTACGGCTGCTGCGCCCCGCCCGGCCCTCCGGCGCCAAAGTAGCTGCCAGCCGCCGCAGCTGCCGCCGACGGCCCGTTTTCCCGCGGGGCGCCGCCGCCGTCCCCCCCGCTAGCCCCGCCGCCGGTCGGCGGCCGCAGGGGCGTCGCCCGCATGGCCTGCAGGTCGTACAAAACGACCTCTGACCGCAGCCCCGCAGACGCCACGAGCCCCGCCTGCTCTGCAGCAGCGACGCACGTCACATAGTCACTGTGGACATCTGCAAACGTGTGCACGCACTCGCCTGGGGGGTGACAATGCGTGTGGTGGAAGCGAGCCGCCGGGCGCACGCACATGTGTTTGGCAAGGGGATGCGGCTGTCGTGGCTTAGCCAGGGATGTTGGTTCACGGCTGGGGAGCAGGGGCGCTTCGCTTGCTGCCAGCGCCGGCGCCTGTTAGCGGCCTCGATAGCATGGCAGGGCCGCCCGCCACGCCGGGTCAGTGGGGAACCCTACTTCTGACCGCAGCGGCTATTCTCGCAGCCGCGCCGCACGCCTGCCGCGGGAGTCGGTCCCCCGCAGCGGCGCCCGCCCACCCGCGCCGCCGGCCCGCCATATCTTGACCGTGCGGTCCGACGAGCAGCTGACGATGACGTCATCGCCCACCCTGGCCAGCCCGTTGACCCAGTCAACGTGGCCCTCGAACCGCGCGGCGCATGCCGGCCGGCCGCCGCCGAGCTCCCATCTGCGGCGCGGGCGGGGCGGGGCCGGCGTGAGCGCGCAGCTGTGCGGAAGGCACCGTTGCTGGCTGTAGGCGCGCACGCGCACTTGCGGCTGTGGGAATTCGGGAAGAGCGGCCGGTGCTGTGCTAGCTACCAGCGGCCGTGTCGGCCTGCTGCATGTGGACGCACCTTCTGATTGTTGAGTCGCGGGAAGCGGTGAATAGCTGGCCGCTGCTGGAGGTGGCCAGGGCCTCGACCCCCGCGCAGTGCTGCGGCATGCCCCGCGCAAGTGCGAGCGGCAGGGGCAAGCTTGGGTGCGCAGAACAGATGCAGAGAAACTGCAAGCGCCACAACTATGCAGAACATCGTTGAACAAAGTCTCACTGCATCATTGGCAGCAAACGCACCAAGTCCTCATCAGTGTGCTGGAACACCACAGTCAGCCGCGGCTCCTTTTTACTGCTATGAGAGCTGCTACTGGATCCAGCATGGGTCCCTTGAGAGGGCGGGAACATGCAGACGAATTCTTTCACAGATCACGCGCACGAATAGCTATATGCCGTCCTCTCTCATGCTTTGCATGATGGACCATAAAATGATGCTGTTGTACGTCGTGCACCGCATCACACGCCGTCTACCTGTGGTACTCAGGGGCAGGTGACGACATGTCACTAGCTCGTTGCCTGCGTGCCTCCATGCGACGCGCGTGTGGGATCGCAGATGATGGGTGGTACTGGACATACAATAGTTGCTGCCAGTATGCTGGTGTCAAACAAGCAAGCAGGAGCATCGCCAGTCAAACAATTCCATCCATGTCAGCCCCCTTGCGTTGCACACTGTGTGTGGCTGCACGTTGACTCGTGTGGTGGGACGCGCCTGCTGAGGGAGCAGAGGCGGCATGTCCTAATCATCCTGTGACGCCGTCGTGACGTTTACTCCAGTTGGGGCGTCACGTGACGAAAGGGAAGTGCGTGCAGGCAGCACAGGATCTTGCACACGTGCAGTTATATCACGCTACCAAAGGACCCACACTCCTAAAAACGTGGAAGCCCAGCACCACAACGGCAACCAAATATGCGCAGTTAATTAATAACAGGTCCTGAAAATATTTTGCACGTCGTGCACGAAAGCCTGTACAAGCCATGCCAGTACTTGAACGCATCTTTGCAATGCAGCCCGACCAAATCAAGGTTGCCCCTCAAGACTTCTTGAAGGCACAGCCGCGAAAAGCTGTGCAAGTTGCGGCGCCAAGTGCGCCTTTACATCCCAATCCCCAGTGCTTGATAACGCATGCCGCGTATGCTCCCAGGGCGACCAGTATAATGCAGGACCGCCCTCTTGTGTCACAGGTGCTGCCTGCGGCGGTCTTGGCGCCAAACCACGGCGGTTGGGTGTGGGCGCGGGCGCTGCGGCCCTCTCCATCGAGGGCCCGCTGGCGGGCGTGCCGCTTCGAGGCTCAGTCGACATCGTACGGCTTGGACGATCTCAGGCGTGTGTATATGGCGTTTGAGCGGCTCGCGAGGAATGCGGCGTCATACGGGTTGCGCAGCCCGGCCACGCCGTACTGCCCATACGGGTCGTACTGCGGGCGTTTGGGTGTGCGTGCAGAGCGCGTGTGGGTGCGCGGTCAGTTGCGGCACGAAGCAGAACGCTGCACGCAGCGGCTGCGCTTCCAGGCGCGCACACGCGTCCGCCCGCGCAGCGCTGGCAAGCACGAGCCGCGGCGCGCCCCGCCGCTCCGGACAAGCGCGCCGCGCCGCGCAGCGCCAGCAAGCACGCGTTTTGCTGAGCCCCGTCGCTGCACACACGTGCGGTGCACGCCTCACCCCGAAGACGCCACCGCCGTTGAAGCCGCCGTAGCCCGAGCCGTAGCCCCCGCCGTAGTACAGGGCGGAGTCGAAGGACGACGCGGCGGAGGCGCCGCCGCGGTAGCCTGACGCGGCCATCATGCTGCCTTGCATGACGTGGGCGTCGAAGGGCAGCTGGTTGATCAGCCGGTAGTCGCGCGGCTGGTGGAACTGAGGGATGGGAGGGGGGCACGTTGGGGCCGGCACAGGGGCCGGGGAAGGGGGCGGGGCGGGTCGGTGCGGGCCCAGCATGCGCACACCAGGGGGTGGGCGCGATGTGTGATTTGACAGCAAGAGGCGCCATGGGCTGATACCAGGCAATGGCAGAGGCGCGACCGGGGTTGTCCTAAATTCGGTCGCGCTCCCTCGCTAGCCGGTGCGTGTGACATCATTGGCAGGGTCACGACCGCGTCGTGCTCTTTCTACGGGGCTTGATACATGTCAAACCTCACGCGAAGCAGGCATTGTGGCGGCGCTCCGCACTCACAGTGTCGCTGCTCCAGCCGGTGTTGCCGACCTGGCGCAGGCCTCGGCCCGATGCGTGCTGCATCAACTGGCCCACAAGGCTGGCACGGAGCCCGTTAGCAGATCCGCTGTCTATTTTGAGCAGGCGTGCGGCCCTCACGCCATTGCCCAAAAGAATTACGAACCCGCAGATCGCCAGCATCGCCCTCATCGCGGCAGCTGCCCGTTCAGAGACCACAAGTACGGCACGTCCAGGGGCAGGTCTGCATTGGTTGAGGTCACTGCGAGACCAGGGATCTCCCTGGTGACACGGCACCCAGCGTCACTGGAGGTGTCACCTGTCACAGCCAGCCGCCGAGTGCCGCTGTGGCCGGCAGACACATGCGAAAGGGGTCGCCAGATACATCCTTGAAATGTGTGATGAGAGAAGGTGTTCCTTGAACAACCCAATGCGAAGAGCAGTGATTGTGAATGGTTCTGTCAGTGATGCAAGCTTTACTATTGGGTTCCTGTATAGCGAGCAAGTGATGCCGCTGAGCATCTCCCTCCTGCCAAGAAACCACTCGACCGCTGAATGCAACGGAATTTGCTGCACGAGCCACAAGCCCATTGTCACCAACACACACGTGCACGCGCACGCGCACGCGCGTGCACCCGCCCCCCCACACACAAACACACGCACGCACGCACGCACGCACGCACGCACGCACGCTTGCAAGCACGCACACACACACGCACGCACGCCCCCAAGCACACACGCACGGAGTGCATCCCATTGAAAGAGCATTCTTATGGCCATCCATGTTTTCTCGCTGCCACCAAACTCTTCGAGGGCTTCACAAGTCAGCACATACTTGGATGCTGCGTACCTTATGCACAGGCTGGTGTGCTTTGCAGTTAGCTCTGAGGGCTTCACGGCACGACCTGGTTGTGCCAGGCATCGTAAAACAAGGCGTCGGAAGGTCCACAACAGATGCAATTGGCTAGTGGGACGCAAATCAACACCGTCGGAGCCAGGGTTTGATCGCCGTGTGGCGCCGTGAGTTACTCCAGGCGCTACGCACGTCCGTGGCCCCCCACTGTACGCACGGTGGCCACCTGACGTTTACCCGGGGAGGCCACCCACCGCAGATGCCGCACATGGCAGACGTGTCAAGCAGCAGTGTGGCCCATGCGATTGGGGTATCCCGGCCCGTACCCATTCCACCAGCCCCCCCCCCCCCCGATAGACTGTATCACATGCGTGGTAAGCGGCAGGCTGGCCAGTGCAGGACAACGTTTCTTGAGCCTAAATGACCAGGCGTAAACATGTGCAGCAGTGGTTCAGGGTAATCAATAAGCAGTACTGCGGCGATAATTTCAGTGAGGTGCTCCTGCCCGACAGTGCGTTCGCGGTGCAGCCGTGTGTGTGTTGACCCTTGACCATGGGTAGCAGTTCACGGCAATGCCTGTCAGCCTCGCATAAGCAATTACATTCAGACGAACCGACATATCAAGGTTACTTTGGTGGCAGCTCGGGGCGTCGAGAGCATCAGCAATAGCATATCTAGAAACCTCTCCGGTGCGGCCACGGTGCTTCTCAATGGTTGGAAAACACTTCCATTTTATTGGTGTTCTGTGAAACGACTTAAAAGATCTTCGTGTGGTTGATCTCGGCACTTGATCGCGCGCCGCCGGCTCTCTGGCTGGCACAGCACCCGCCTATCGCCCAACGAAAAGCCTCATTCCGCTTGAAACGTTGTGGAGCAGAGGCAGTCCTTTATCGCGTGTCGACCCAGCCGCCTGCCCAGCACCCAGCGCCATGTTCTACCGCGCCGCCGTCGCGCCCGGCAAGCCGGCGGTCTTCGTGCCGCCACCAGAGGAGCATATGCTGCACCTCTCCCAGGCCGCGCTGCCGCACGATGTGCCCGAGGGCACGCGGGTGTCCCTGATGGTGCGGCACGGCGACGACGACGTGCCCGCGCTGCTGTGCACGCTGTGCGCTGGGCGGCTGGACACCGTGGCCCTCGACCAGTTCTTCAGCCATTACTGCGAGTTCACAGTGGCCGGCAACGCCACCATCCACCTCAGCGGGTGAGCGCGCCAGCAGAGGCTCGTGGTGCAGGCGTGGTTGCGCCAGGCGGCCGGCCGCCTCTGTGAGGCCAAAGCGGGGGGCTGCATCCGCCGCCCGGGCGCCCCTGGCCGCCGGGGCAGCGGCGCTGCGCACCCAGGGGAGAGCCTGCCGAGTCCCCTGCCTGCGTGTGCCCTCACGATGCCAGCAGTGCCAGCTTGAGGGATGCTGTTGTCGACACATGCCCATTGCTGGACGTCTCACCAGTGGTGCCCTCGCCGACGTATGCGCGCGCCGCGCGCGTGTGCATGCGCGTGTGTGTTCCGTAGGTACTACACCCCTCAGCACGAGGAGGGCGAGGACGGCGACATAGGGGAGGTGGGCCGGAATGGAGCGACACCCGGGGCAGCTGGCTCGTGCTGCGTGATTGACGAGGCACAACAGACGCCGGTCGCGGCCGGCCTTGTTTTTCCCAAAGAGGGCCGACGCTTACCAACAGCTGCACCTCCCCTCGACAAACTCCTGTTCGGGGCCGCGGGCTGCGGCAGCTGCCCCGGGGCTGCAAGTAATGGTCGACCCCTGCCTATGTTTCTTGCCGCGCACGTTTAAGTACATACGGTAGCCTGCGACATCCCCACC